CTGCTCTGATTTCTTTCTCCGCAGGTTTCTACTTCAGGCACGAGCTGATGCCAACCAACGGAACGCTCGTGGCTTGGCGTCAGCGAGCTGCTAAGCACCTAGAAAATGCAGTCGACACTTTAATTTAGTTTTCTAAATATTTTCATATATATATATATATATTCATTATATACAGTGTGTTGTTTTGTGTTTTGGAACATTCTTCTCTTCATCTACCTTGTTCGAACATGGTAACAAGCTGCTCAGAGTTTCGTTGCATGCTGGGAATGACAATGATGGCATCGGCCACCGTGGGTCTTGGGAATGATTGCTGAGAAACCAACACCTGGATGGCCACGTCTGGATGAGACTGATTCGCAAGCCAGTTCAAACTACCATTGACACTCACAGACAGCTGATCTCTTTGTCAGAGATAAGGCCTGTCTTGTCTCGGGCTCGGTCACGGGACATTTGAAGCAGTTGGACTTTCTCAACGAAACGGCATTGACTCATGGTTACCTCAAAAGTCTGTGGGTCTTGCTCGTACTGTGCCCCACAGAAATCACTTGAGCCAAGACTCCATTTCCGAAACTTGAAGGCGGCTTGCAATCGCTGGATAGCAGCTTTATACCCAGACCCATGACCACCAGTCACACAATCGTCAACATGTGCTCCATAGATCTCCATAGACACCTGTCAGTTGACCTTGTCCACGAGAATAGAAGAGACAGGAGTCGAAGCGAGAACGTTCAAAGCCAACAATGAGCTCTTGACACAACCGTCTATGCCAAGCTGAGGGGGGAATCATTGAGACCGTGTATACGTGACCAATGACCTCGATCAGTGTATCTTCAGGGATTCCGGAGACTCCTCCCTTTGGCAAGCAGCTAGCATACAAGGGATGGTATCGCCTGTGCTCCTAAGGCCAGTTGCCAGTGATGGCTAGCTATCACGGCCACATGGGCCGCTGCAGCCCTCTTGTGAGCCAGAAGCAGGAGCGCATGGCCTGTGAGAGGGCATCGAACTTGAGGTCGCCTTGAGCACGAGTCAGGCAGATCGCTTGGTCGCTTGTGACATTCCCAAGCAGTTCAGCAGGATCCGCCACGCCAGTCTTCCCAGCACACTTGTCGAAGCACTCTCGGGTCCGCTGGCACTGTCGAAGGCTCGCGCCCTCCTGCCTTCAAGCCGAGAAGACACTGGCGATATTCTCGCCGATCTCATCGGGCGGCCTTTTGTCAAGGAGGTCAAAGATGATGTTATCAGAGACCTTGACCTGGTAGTCGGCGTTTTTGAGATGTTCGACCACCTCAAACGCACGTCCATGAATCACCGTCCATATGAACGATCCTCGAGCCTCTTCGCCCACCGGCGGTATTCCCGGTGGCAGTGGTCAGCATCTTCACCGCCGCTGAAAGGCCGAAGTGATGTGCCAGATTCCATGGCAGCGCGGTTGGAGACTCCAACAAGCTTCCAGCTGTTTCAGCTTGTCGGGGAGCCGGTGAATTCCACACCTGAAAACCGCATTCTAAGCGCTCCTTTTCTCGGGCATGAATGTCCCTGGAAGCGCGGTTGGCATATACATAATTTTTTTAACTTAATAGATATATCATTCTGGTCTGGTCTTGCTCCACGGTCATGCTGATGTTGAGGACGTGTTGAGTAAATGAGTCCCAACACCTCTCAGCCAACATACAAACGGAAAGGAAAGCTTTGGTTTCAAACCCATGTGAACAAACAAAGAGCCAGTTTGCTTTTCAGCCTGGATCAAAGGTTTTCATCCACGAAGTTGGTGCCACGCGCTGCCCATCAAAGAACCACAGCCGCCCACCCGCTGCCTTCCTCCGCCTGCCTTCCTGCCATCCTGCCTTCCATTCAACCTTCCTTCCCACCTTCTGCAACACAGGAGTTCTGGCAGTGCGTGGTGCAGAGTGGTGCGCGCTGGGCCTTTGGCAGGTGACAGAACGCATATCAGAACACAAGGTCACAGGACAGAACAAGCGCACTTGCCAGAAGATATGTCAGAGCACATGTCAGAACGAATATCAGAGCCAGAGTCAGACAGTATGTCACAACATATTTTAACACATGCCAGGTCGGAGTGCGAGAACACATGTCACAAGTACATGCCACAAGATATGTCAGAACTCATGTCAGACTTCACGGCAAAACCAATGCCAGATCGCATGTCAAAAAGGACGTGAACCGCAAAACACATTCCATATCATTTCCCAGTCTTTATGCTAGGTCTTGCTTGGCAGGACAGTTTTTCGGAGCGGTGGAGCAAGAGTTTCCATCCAAGTTATTTCTCGAGGTTGTTTCCCAGGTGCTTGTCTCCCTGTTTTTGTTGAAAACCTGCCATTCCACGTTTAGACGATTCTCGGGAGAATCGCTCTCCACAACTCTGGCGCCAGTGGATTTTGATGTGTGGGGTCATGGAATGCGGATTTGTGTTTTGACTCGGTCTTTCGCAATACGCTATCACTATTGCACAAAGGTACACAAAATGGTTTTCGGACTAACCTTCTGACCCTACTGGTTTTGTGTTTACTGCACAAAAAGAGCTACTGTAACCAAGCTACGTTGCCCAAATGAATAATTACGGAGGGTCAGACCACGCGTTGGGAAAATCTGTAAGAGTGAGAGTGTAAGTGGTAAGAACTCGGTTCGGCTTGGTATAGTGACACGTCCGCCTGGAATCTATCCTGTGAATAGGTTCCGAACTTGGCCATGAAGGTGCACGAAGCAGGGCGGAAGACTTACCGTAAGTGAATGTAATTCATGTTATAATTTCTAATTGTGTTTGTTGTATAGAAAGGGAACAACTCAACTTGCAATGCCAAGCTTGGTGCAATCGTTAGTCTGAGGTGGTTTGTCTCCCTTGGATCTTGCTAGAAACACGCACACACGTGAAGTGGGCTTGGATGCAATTGGTGTTTTTTCTCGTTTGTTGCAATCTCTTCCAGTCTGGACGGCCAAACGGGATGCGGCTTTCGGGCGGTGTTTGAGATCGTTATAAGTTATAAGGTGTTGTGGCGTTGTGCTTGTTCAGACTTTGTGCCTTAGTTGAGCTTATTTTGACCACTAGACTCACTAAACTAGATGCCAGCTACCAATGCTTGAAGGGTTTTTTTTCTGCATGTGACATGTGATTCAAAGGCTGCTGCATTTTAGGTGATGAGTCGATGAGGATGAACTTTGGAAGATTGAATCACAGGGAGAGCAAGTCTTTTCGGTCTTTTTGCTATAATTAGCTGCTATGGGGGGCTGAGGTCCTGCAGCAATCCTTCCGGGCTTCCAAACAGGAATCTCGTTCTGCAGCGTTATGGCCAATCTTGGGACGCCTATTACAAACAGCCTAAGCGGAAGGACATTTATATAAAGACTGTTGTTACAGATGTTATGAGGCACCCTCGATTTCTTTGATCTTTCTTAAACCTGACATGCAACGGAAGCCAACCCTGTGCAAGTCCAACGCCCAGTCTTAAGACAAGGACGTTTATCTTAAATGGGTAACTGTCTTTCTCGTAAAGGCAGGAGCGACAAACCTGACACAAGAATGTAAGAAGCAGATCTTGAGAGAAGTTATTTGCAGCACATTTCGCTGCACTTCAGAGTAGCAAAGGGGACACGGAAATTCACACAGCACAAACAATCTAAGAAGCGAATCAAAGAGTCGAAGACAGTCTCTATTAGACCTTTCTTCCCTTTCTTTGTAATTGTTTCTAAGAGCGATGGCCTCCAACCTACTAGCGATGGCTCTTTTTCTTCTCAGCCTTGTTGAAAGGAAATATGGCTCTTCAGCCTGAGAAAAGCAATCGGCCACCCTCGCTATCCTTGTTGAATCATGTCCTCGTCAGCAAGACGTTTTGGCAGACACACATCAAACGGCCACACATCACATGAACGCCCACAGGACGCCAGACACCGCACGCATGAGATGCATGGCTAATTACCATCACATCATCAGCCAATTGACTTCGCCAAACATGAACACTGACGAAAGATTGAAGCATGCTATAGCTTTATCATCCTTTTGTACTCCTTCCGCCCACCTGCTTTGCAGACTAACGAGTAGCTGCTGTCCTCCAAGGAAGGGTTGTTCTTTGACATAAGCATCTTCAAGTCTGAGATGGTTGAAGAGCGCTTTTGACCTTCAAGGGCACCGCAAGCATAAGTGCTGGCTGTCCTGTTTGGGAACTACTCTACGTATCAACGTTGCGTCCGGTGTTCCGGAGGATCATCTCAGGTGTTCCCAGGTCTCACGTGCTCAGATGATGAACCCTCCCTTTTCAGCTGAGTTCAGAACATCGTGAACATCGGGCTAGAGTCGGCTAGAGCTATGTCCTCCTCCCTGCAGCACTGCTGCAGCACCCTTCCGGATCCCTTGATCCATCTTGATCCTTGATGTCCTTTTTTGCAGCACCTGCCAGAGCCTTTTTGCGTCAGGTGCGACTGAACCCTTTAATTTTTTGAACCCCAAAATGCACCAATTGGTTTTGGAAGAACCATGGCGAGTGGGTGAATTTGGTCTTCTATTGTGTTGCTTCGAATTCCGAAAGGCCCAACTTCGCATATCTTTGTAGTGTTGTATTTGTCAGTTGGCAACTGTAACTGTAGCCCCGAAGCTATGGTTTTTTCAGTTTTCCAATCCTTGACATGCCCGAAGCTGTCAACTTGTGTGCAAACTGGCCAGATTAGAGAGTCTGTTTCCTGGATTTCACCATATTGCAATATGGGGGTGTAATTAACAGGCTAGAGTGGATTCGCTTGACCTTTGGATGCTTGGCCGGCCTGTCAGCCGTAACATGGCTGAACGTGCACATGTTTGCTCAGAGTTGTTTTTCTATTTTTGCAGACCTTTCCAAAGACTTACGACCGCGAGATGAGAAGAAAGTGCGTGACAGAGTTGCATGTTCTCGCTTCTCTGCTTGGTAAGTCATACGCCCAACCACCAGAACATGTGCACAAAAGCGACACCAGCCACATTTTGATCAGTCGGTGACATGTTGATCTCGCTTGAGGTGGCATTGAAGCTTTGAAAGAGCGGCTGTGAGCTAGCTTGGCAGTATTTTATAGTCTTTTCAGCCATTTGGACGATTTGGATGTGGCTTGAATATGACACCCAAACTGCACATTTAGCAATGTGTAGAGTATCCATAAGAATAAGTTCTTGACGATGCCAAGCTTGCAAATTTGGTTCTTGTAAATACTCGTAGCTCAAAACTCGTAATGGAGCTGGTCATCTCTCTTCAATCGAATGGGAGAGGACCCCAACGTATTCTTCCTACCGCAAGGGCCCGGGGTGTTCTTTTTTTGGGGGGGGATGTGATTTTGATGCATTTGTTTACCTTGGAATTCGATGTCTTCGGCTTGAGATTTGGACTGCTTTTGAGATGTGTACAAAAAGCTTGAGTGCAGAAAAGGTGCACCGTATGCAGCGTTTTGCGACGGTCCGAGATATGCCAACGACCGTCCTTCGAAGACCGTGAGGTCGTGAATGTCTATGACGTGAAGCGCTGATCCTAGATATCTCCCCTCTGATATGAACGAGCAGTCCCAAGTGAGAGTCATGTCGTCGCTGTCGTCCTGTAAATGTTCTCACCAAATATATGAGGCGACGATTTGACTAAAAAGCCATGTGATGGGTTTTAGGTCCCAGGCGTGATGTGCAAGTAGATGCTGCTTCCATACATCGGTTAATGGCAAGCTCAGTTGATGAATACATGGGACTTAAGCCGAGCTATCTACCTTAGGCTCAAATTAGTGTATATAGTTAAGTACTAACATGCACTCCTGCCATCATCGTTGCCTTATAGACTTGAATATTCCAGGATTGTCCTCCGGCATTCATGAACTGCCGAGGACTGAGCTGGTTGGAGTTGACACCGTGCGCTTCAAGGCGGAGGTGCAGTTTAACACTCAGGCGAGCACACTTGATGAATGAACTGCGATCAGGCGATCAGGTAAAGTACAGATCTTGCACCTCCCTAAACAAAGAAGGCGCCTTTGTATTCCAGGCATCCCCTACAAGCTTTTCTTTCTAACAAGGGCTTTCAAAAAGCACATTGACACAGCGGTGGGAGCAAGCAGCAGCAGAACCATTCTCAAGGTCTGCAGAGGTGTATAGCTAAGTAGATCTCAGTAGTATCCTCAAAGCGGGTCAGATGGCCCATGATTCAAAAGCTTAAAAGCCTCAATGTCCATATCGCAAGAAGTTGAACTTGCTAGAGTGGGAGATTGTATGAAGAAGATCGGAAGATCCATCAAGTTCACCGTTGTTTAATTTTGTTTCTAAAGAGTGCCAATCACTTTGTAGCCGTCACTCACAGTTTTCCTTTCGGATGACTGATCAGTTGCGCCTGATAAGGTCCGCTTTTGTGCTTCCATTAAAAACAATTATTTATAAACAGCTCTTTAAAAAGAGAAGTGTTGTGCACTTGTCACGGAGCTATTCAATGGAGAAGGATGAGACCCAGCGTGCATACGAGACAAATGACAATCTCGCAGTAGAACCTTTGCGAAGGCCATCACAGAACGGATGATGGAGGCTTCCCAGGCATTTGGGGTCCGCAGTTCAAAAAAGCAATTCAGGTTCCGTGATGTAGGTTTGGTGAAAGAAAAGGGTACTGACCAACTTTCCAATACTTATCGCTCCTTTTTCTATTGCAGAGCGTGCCCTCAATGCATGTGACTTGGACCTCAAGGTGGCCATAGGTGGCTGTTGTAAAAAGTACAAGCATTCAAAGTCAATTGAAAGAACTAGAAGTAATGTGTCTTGATGAGTTGATTGGGAACATCTCTTGTTGGCCCGGCCTTGATGACCTGCACTTGGCTTGCGGGACCTGGGAAGTCCGACGTGCAGGTGCCACGTCCAGGCTGGTGCAAGCGGTGTTCGGCTTGAATGATGAGGGTCAACTCCCAGAAGACGATCCTTAATTAAATAGAAACAATAAGCTACTAATTTTAATTCTAATAGCTTCTTGTTACTACTAGTAAGGCACTTGTTACTACTAGCGATGCACCTGATAAGTTTCATTTCTGATTGAACAAGCTCTTACTCTTCGCAAATGCGCGCCGAGTCGAGTCGCGCGGTCGGAGTTCCACCGAGGGAGTGATAATGAGTAGACCAGACTTCAGTGGTTCGCTTGGTTGTTCGGGCCATGCAAAATAGTAGCTTCTTGTTACTAGTGACAAGGGCATCGCTACTAGTAGCAAGAATGCTACTAGTAGCTCCTGGCATTACTAGTAGCAAGAATCTAAGAAGCTACTAGTTACTAGTTGCGATGCACTTGTTACTAGTGGCCCATTCGGGCCCTGCAAAAACTCAAGAATGTCAGCACGAACCAACACCGAACATCCTCGGCCTTCCATCGAAGTTTGATTCCTCCTTGTGGTGGGATCCTCACGCAACTGAGATCTATCCCCCCGATTTCACTCAGCTCAACTTCAACTCGCAGAAAATGAAACACGGTCACAAACGAACCCAATCACTAAAGCACGGGTCACAGGGCTTTGCAAGATCAAATTCATCAGGAGTTCTGCGACTTGCTTGGGAAGGAAGTCGCCATTTGCACGCTGGCGGTACACTCACCTCTTCGAGCTACAATGTCCTCCGGCGCTTCCAAGCAAATAAGACCTCTGGACAAGAGGGCATCCCCGATGAGTTCATCCTTCGTGCGCGCTCGTCTCCGAGCCAGTGCGCGCTCGTCTCCGAGCCAGTGCGCGCTCGTCTCCGAGCCAGTGCTTCCACAAGATCACCGGATGCAAAGCAGCCCCAAATTTTCATTGGTGCGAATCTTTCCTTTGTCTTTTGCCAAGGTCCTGCAGACCTCGTGGGCACAGAGGCGTCCTATCAGCCCACGGTTTTTTCACACGCCACCATGCTCCGACGGGTGGCCTCCACACCGCCTGGCGCAGCACCAAAGTCTTGATGCAGCCTTGTAGTGCTGTGCAGCTCTTGATTCACAAGACATCGACGTTTGAACAGAAAAAGCCCTAAAGCTGACGTGGAGAAGGCTTTTGATAGCCTCAGTTGGGAGGCCCTTGTTGAAACGTGATGGGAGGCATTCTGTGAGCCTCGGCCACACGAAGCGCTGGCACTCCTTGCAGCAGTGCGCCGTCACCTCGAGGTTGACTTCACTTCGCAGGCACTCCTTTGCTCTCATCAAACGTGAGGTATATACCGGAGACGCCGAACACCCGTTCCTTGGTGCTTCAGGATCGATGGAGACAGCTTCTGGGAGACAGGTTGCAACCCATATGAGCCTTCCAAGCGACCGATGGAGGATTGGCACCAAGAGTTGCCGTTCTCTCCGTCGCCCCATCCCACGGCCTTGCCTTCCGACATCCTTTGGCTGGGCAGCCAGCCTGCACCATATGGCTGTCATGGTGGACGCAAAACAGCGTTGCCCAATCCAGCCTCAGCATTAATCTTTCCAAGAGTTAATTGGTAGCGAATGCGTACTGTGGAGTTGAAACTGCCACCGCGCCACTTTGTGGTCATCTCGCTGTCAGTCTTTCCAGCTCTCTCGCAAGAAGCCTTGGATGCATGGCTGGGAGGGCGTGCCCCTACTCATCCACGCCCGAGGCAGCCATGAGCAAGGCAGCGTAAAGGTATGGGGCAACCAAGCTGGGGCCCTGTGGATCCACTGGAAAACGAGCGCTGCACAAATCGGGGGCCGAACACTCCAAACCCAAAAGGTTGGCCGCCATGTTGGCTGGTTGCCACCAATTTTCGAGGCGCAGCGCATCAAACCAGACCGTGGTGTCCGTCTGGATCAAATGCGAAGTCACGTGTGGACCTTCCTCTCCCCTTTTATTGTCCCTCAGCACCTGGTCATGTTCTTGAAGGAGCTCCGAGTGACGTTTAAACGTCGCAAGTCGCACGGTGCATGTTCTGCAATGCGATAAGTTGCTGCAGAGATTTTTCTCATGCTCCTTGTACAGCTTCCTTTCCCCAAGCATGTGATGGGCAATCGTCGCAGCTTTGTCAGCTGCCTCATTGCAGAAAGCGGTCCCTCAGCCATGCCCATAAGTCCACATGCGAGTCAGAATCGGCAGACATTTTCTGCCGTGTCCATCGAGGCCAAACAACTCACTTTTGTCCAGTATATATGCTGGAGCCAGCTCATGGCAGCCAACATAGCAACCAATTCTGCTTTGTCGATGGACTGCACCGTGCGGTGTGGTGGCCCCGCATAAAAGGGCACAGGAGACGCGCCGTAGCGGACACTACTCCTCATGTGGCTAGTGCACACCCAGGAAGTTCCAGGCTCAGACACATTCGCCTCAAGTGGAAACTGGGTTTTGACGACCAAGAAGTTGCAGCCACTCTCCCCAGCTCAAATATAATTCGCTAAGAGACGATGTCTCAATGACAGGAGGTCATCCCAGTTTGTCAGGATCGCCTGATGTGGTGCACAAGCATCAGCTGCAGCTAGCTCGGGGCTCGCAAACCCGTGGTGCCTGTGTGTCGTCTTCCTGGCACCAAGGGCGTTGTCCATCATCGTCCTGTTTGCATGTGAGACGAATCTTTTTTTCGCTGCTTCCCTGTCACAAAGGCACCCTCCTACTTTCAAGCACTAAAGAAAAAGCAAGCGAAAGGCCTGTCAAAAGGACGCACATCAAAGAAAGAACGCCTTCTTGTTCCAGGGTAGCCACATCCAAGTACCAGGAAGTGCATGTCTCAAGTGCAAGTCTTTGTAGTGAAGCCGGTCAAATGATCAGCTTTCTTGGCGCAAGAATGATAGAACATCACAAATGGCTGGCGCTTGTTTGTCGCACTGCAGGCAGCAACACAGGTGCTAGCCTGAACCCACATGACACATCACATGATCAAATGTCCTGTTCTGGCGTTCATGAATTGGCATTGTCAAATTCAGGAGCAGCCAAATCCGTTGGGTACACCTGATCACTATACACATGGTCGAGCCGAATAGCCTTGCATCATGCAAAATGTTATTTTGACGTTCACAAACACACCAGGAAGAACATCTGCAGGACCAACCGGTGTTGAACTCCGGATTTTGTAGACATCAGCATGTCCGACATGTCCAGATGTCGACTGAACTCTGCGAACTCCCAACCAGAGTGACAGGTGAAGAATATCATGCACATGCAATGCTGGCAATGCGCCTTAGAGGGCTGCTGCCCCAGG